TTCCAGTAGAAATAAATAATACACTTTAATTAACACCAATAACTAAATGCAACTAGATAAGTTATTTGGAATCGGGTTAGGAATTATCAAAATAGGCAACATTTATAGATTAATCGCTATATCAACCTTTTCACTTCTAGAAACACAGAGCTGGCGCTGCACGAGATAGAGCATCTGGAATAAAGTGTTATAAGTGTTGATATCATATTCCTTCAAATTGAATCGTTTAGCCCAATGAGTCAAACGCACTAAACTGCGTAATTTGTAATTGCAACCCAACAAGTGCTAGAATGATTAAAGAGCGGTTAATGGGAACTTAATGAATTGTAATGTTATTACATAAAAGTGTTATTTAGAAAGAAAAAAATTAGAAGAATCGTTAATTTTCATATAAATCAATATTGGCTACAGAAAGAATCATAATAACTGGTAACATATCATTGAGATAGTACGATTAGCACGAATTCCACAATAAGAGGACTTGTATAGTTGTTTCGATGTTGATTTGAAGAAGGGGCTTAGAAAGCAGTGCTCAGAGGACAGCGAGATTAGAGATTGCTAGATTGGATTGAATGCACAGTATATGGAACATTTTGCGAAAAGATCTTGGTTTACATGCTGATAGGATGTCTGACTAGCGTCTTTTTTGTTCACTGGAAAGTCAACCACTATTAGCCTCTTCAAATCATATTGAATACCCATTAGGACGAGGACGAGGGATCAAAAAAAACATGTTACATGCAGCTTATTTTCCGCAGAGATCTGAATGGTGCTTCAATGGGGAGAAATTAATCCAATGAGGATACTTGGATGGAACAATCAATAGTTTTAATGTTATTTGTTGGAGTACAATTCATTTTTTAGTCGTGAGAACCGATTCTCATAGGTTTACTTCTTTAACATTTTTGTCTTTTAGTCGTTTTAGTTGGTGCTTTTTGTAGTACAGTAATACCTTGACTTACGTGAACCCAACTTACGTAAACCCGGAGATACGTAGTTAGGCGGTTCTCCCTCTACTTTGCTCGGTAGAAGATTACATCATAATATTTTTAGCTCGTTCACATTAGTTTCGTACGAGAATCTATCGAGTGTTGATTAGTCAGTTTATAAGAATATCTTTAATAGTGTTTTAGAACAACGTAAGTATAAACATAGTAAACATTAGTTGAAAGCTTTATTTATTTCCTTACATATTATGTTATTATGTCAACAAAAAAAAAAGGATTTGATTCTCCAAATTTTCCAAGAACACGTAAAACTTTAACACTTGAGCTAAAACACAGTATTGTGAAGAATATTGAAGAAGGCATGAAAATATGTGAATTGGTACACAAATTCAACCTTGCTTACACTACTGTTCATTCAATAATAAAAGATAAAGCTACAATTCATGACGTTGTTAAAAATGCTCAGTCATTAAATTCAAATTTAATTCGTTAAGGACATGGTATGATAGCTGAAATGGAAACCTTGCTTAATGTATGGTGTGAAAACCAAGTGAATGTCAAAAATTGTCCAGGAGATCTGAATACCATATGTAATCAAGTCAGGCAGATTTTTTAAAAGTTAAAAGAACAATTTACAGATGATGCAAAAGATGAAACTTGTAGCCAGCAATGATTGGTTTTGTCGTTTTAAAAAAAGATGCGATTGGCACAATATTGCATGGAGTTGCAAGTGCCAAGCAAGTGCCGATAAAGTCGCCGCATCTTTTCCTATCGCATTAAAGAAGTTAATAGAAGAAAGCGGTTATAGCACACAGACCATATTTAATGCAGACGAAACGGGGTTTTTCTGGAAGAAAATGTCTCGTAGAACGTGCATTGTGAAAGTCCAATCGGATAGCATGGATTACTGCTTCTTTATTTGAAGACTCGTTTGGAAATCATTTTATTCCGGAAGTTGAACGATACTGTTCCTATAAGGACATTGTATTTAAAGTGATGTTAATTATTGATAACGCACCTGGACACTCGCCAGCTAACCTTATCAACTATAATCCTCGCGTGAAAGTAATATTTTTGCTCCAAAACACGACTAGTTTACTTCAACCTATGGATCAAGGACGGTCATTTAACTGTTTAAATCAACCTATTAATTACGATCACAACTGGTTTCCTTAAAGATTTTTAGAATAAATTTAATGGTCTCGATGCTGTCAGAATCATAAGAGAATCGTAGAACGAAGTTTCTTCGAAAAACAATGAAGGGAGTTTGGAAAAAGCTTTGTCCGGACTTCTTTACGGATTCACCTGAAGCATTACTAGAAAACGATCCTAAACTTGAAATAGTAGCAAATATTGTTACTTTAGTAAGTCGATTTGGAGCTTGATAGCGAAGATGAGCTCTTAGAGTCACATGATGAGGAGCTAACCCTTGACGAGCTAATTGAAATCCAGCAACAAAATGAAAATAAAGAAAATAATGTTGAACTAGCACAACCGGGAAATGTCCTAACCATTGCAAAATTAACAAAAGGACTTAATTCCATACAGAATGGCATAGAAATTTTAGAGGAAATAAATTATAATGAAGAGCGTGTAATTACAGTTAAAAAGATTCTTTATCTGGTTTCTACTACCTTTTTAGTATCGTTCTGCCTAATTCTTGCCCTAAATTTGTTAACTTTCTGCTTTCGTTAAAACATTTTCAACCAACCTGTCGCACTTTTCAGTGCAGAAAATTGACAGTGAAAATCAACATATTTTAAAGCAATCATATGTCTGGATTATATAGAAAGTATAATAGAATTACTGTTTAAAATGTCCATGTCCATCTTGAAATGTGTAATTTGTGACTTAGATAATTTTCTCCTGTACCCTTCAAATTTCCGATGGATGTAACATATCCGGGGGAAGATTTGATTCAACATGATATTGTTTTGAAAGTAGAAATAATTATCTGAACCAAACCATATTCACAATCTCCAAGCTTAAAAGAAACTATACACGAAGATACAGCCCACATTCTTCACCAACACCAATAACACAATTAGAAGGTAAAGAACCAAGGCCAATAATAGACCCAGTACCTAACATAGAAGGTTGCGTGCGACGGTGTGGTAACTCAAATTAGTTAAGTCTTGTTCGAGTAGCTACTAGTAGCTTTAGTATTCGGGCTTCAATCTGCTCCGTTTGCTTTCTAAACTTTAATGAGTAAAATTTTGGATAATGAATTTGCCAAACGTGATTTGGATGATATAGTAATTTTTTCAATAATATGGATAGATTGTTTAAAGCACTTTAGACTTGTGTTTACAGCTATGTATAAGGCTGTGTTAGAATAAAAGCAAAGAAATGTGAGTGGGGAATTAGCTTAAGTTGTTTATCTGGGACACAGAAATGGGCACGGTTAAAGAACTCCATCTGAATTAACAAAAGGAAAATGAGAAATGGGTGTTACATTGTTTCAATGTGACAACAACAATAAAGAACATACTTTATTATTAACTGAAAGAAAACAAAGCTTCCAGTGTAAGCGAATTAGAATGTGCCGCATTAGTTTGGGCAATAAATAAATTAAAACCGCACCTATATTTAACTAATTTTATTGTTGAAACAGATCATTGTCCTTTGACTTGGTTGACACAGATAAGTGATAAAAACGCAACATTTAAAATTTTACCATCAATGAGTTTTTGCTTGGCAGAGACCACGATTCAGCATTGTAAAAGCATTACACTTATTCAAATCTTCATCCAACCGAATCTGTCAATAAGCAGACATAACGTCAACCGTAGATAAATATTTAGCAGTTATTGTGTGGTACATGACCATTACAAACAGTAGGAAACAATCACATTATCAATAATAAAATACAAAGCTCTCTGCACCTCGATGACTAAATCAACCGACTTGAAGATTTTAAAAGGATAATCGCTAATTGTCAGTCCCTCTCGTTTTCCGAATATATCAAACAAATACAAATAGTTAACCCAAACCATAACATCCTCTTTAAAATTGTTTTAGACAATAACCCTTATATTTATTTTTGAAATATCGGATATCTGAACCATGTCGCAAATCCTGATCGCTACAACCATTGGGTAAAAATGCTGTATAGGTACTGCAAAAATTGCCAGTTTCCACCACCTTGCACTTTGATAGAGGCGGTGGAACAGATTCCACAATCGAACGCTGATATTTAAGTTGCCTTCCAATTCATCGCAGATCTTTCATCGTCTTAATTGTTAATGTAGTCAGATAATGGTGATAATAAGGAGCTCAAAACGCTCAAAAGTACATTGATAACAGCACGTTTCAGAATGGACGTTGTTTGATTCCATCAAAATGTATTCCTTTGTAATCAAAAGGTCGAAACACTTCACGCACAGTGAAACTAATTGAAAGTTCATTTATGCAAAGTTCGATACCACACTAAAGCTTTATCAAAGTTCTGTTTCATTGTAAAAGGTATTTGTGAGCATCTTAGTTTTAATACAACACGTGCAAAGAATCCCCAAGCACCTATTAACTTTAATAAATAAATTTGTTTTAAATCTCAATAATCATAATCATTATTTTGCCTGGAAGAATTTCTTAAATTTAAAGAAGAATTTTTTTTTGCGGTTGACCGCGGTTGCCAAGTAACATAACATCATGAGAGGTCTGAAAACTTGAACATTTCAATGTTCATTGAAAACTGTTCTGCCAACCTTTAAACGAGTTGAAACTTTTCTCTCAAGATGCATTAAATCGGTTAAATAAAGCATGCATTTACATTAATGAAAGAAGAAAGCATTAAATAATTTCCCATCAAAATGGTAAGTATGACTAAAATCCATGTTTTTCAAATAAGAACTTAGTTTGTAAATATTTATACCACGCAATACTATATAATTCCCGATTACTTTAACTTAAATTTTATTGTCTGCAGTGGAGGCATGAAATATAAAAGTTGAATTTTTTAAAACTTTATTGCTACTTCAACACAACTTCAACTTTTATATGACGATGTAATATAAACACAATATATAAGCAAATTGTTATTCTCGTACATACCAGTATCATCCTCGACTTTAGCAATACCTCCAACCACAAACAAATTAACACATACAATCCACACCAACAACAGTCGCCACAAAAAAGTGTAAAGTTTGACAGTAGTGTCAACTTTAAAATTCGGCACTAACACAAAGCTCATATTAAACAACCACATGTTTTTATTTATTTAAGTATACTGAAGAAGTTCAAAGAATCATGCTACACATCGAATACCACAATATGTCCACATTATCTTCGATTCAATCTCCTAAAACAAAATTTTTTTATGGTAAGTTTTTTAAACAATATCGTTTGATAAACCGTTCTGTTTTATCTTAGCGATCTGTAAGTCCTCTTCTGTGACAAGAAACCTGCGTCACAAACGAATAGAAACGCGGCCCGAACCTTACTACGATCGGACGAGAAGCGCGCGCTGAGCTTTGAAGAGCTCGTAGTCGAACGGCGCCGAGTCCTGACGAACGCGAAGCTGTTTTTGTGCCACCTGCTCGGTGCGCGGCGCCCGACTAACATCGAGGTCCTGGCCAGTCCTGGTAAGTCCTGACATGTCCTGGTCGAGGTCCTGCGGAAGGAGTAGACGGCACGACGACGCGGTTCTACGCGCATTCCTGCTCGGACTGCTCTAAAGACCGCTGCAAATCTAGTTAACATTGTCATCCTAATGAATATTTATACAGTGTACGGATAATCTCTCGCCGTGAGGGTGATATTTCCTGCTGGAGGAAAAGACCACTTTTCTGGATGGTGTTATCTTTACCCGGAATATAAGATAGAAAAAAACACAATTTTTAGTGGAAATTGATTTTTATCGGGAAATGTTGTTTTAATAAGGAGGATGGGAGAACTCATCGATTTCTAAAGAGACAATTCTTTATTCACAGTTTATCAATCACGTTTCAAAAGTACTCAATTACAAGTTCTTTTCGATATATTTATTCGATCTTTTACTGCTTTAAATCTACTTGTCTTTTTCAGATTTTGCGTTGTACGTTCAATTTCAACATTTCTTTCAAAAATAAACGGGGTTTGTTGGCATTTTGGATTCAAATCCCATGTATCCAGCGTCATCGACGCATCATCGATTTGAATGATATTTATGTGTTTCGGGAATGCTTTTATCTATATTAGACGTTTTGCACTTTTTGTACATTTATTATTGCGACAGCAGTACTGTTTCACATGTTTCGGAACATCTGACTTCGCTCACAACCAAAATGTTTATGTTCATTCTCTCCATCTGTTCAATATTGCGAAGCAATATGCAATATGATAGCAACAAGGGGCGCAATCGCCACGGAAAATCAATCATATGATGTTACGCTATGATGAGAGTTCGAGAATGGTTCTGCCTGATTTCTAGAATCTGCTGGATAACATCGTTTCGTATATTTACCTACTCTTGATTTTAATGAAGATGATCTCGTTACATATGATTTATGTGATATTGGAAGGTTGGCGATATGCTTGGCTTTTGCAGCTTATAATAATTGCGGCAATCAACGTCTGATTGAGTAGGGAATATTTGTCTATACATAAATATCATTACCAGTTTCTGAAGCGGCATATACTCAGAATGTTGAATAACTCGCGTTAGATTGAGTACAATTCTTAACTTAACTCTTATTCACATTACGTTGTGGTAGAACAACTTAATTGAGTTTTATAAAAGTAATTTTTCTTTTAAAAACATAAAATTATATACAGTATCTTAAAGCTGGAGAATTTTCGTACGAAAATAAAATAAGTTTTGAGAAAATTTATAGTCCATACCAACTTCATAACACCAGAAAAGCTATGGCAGTACACAAGAATTCCGTTCCTCGTAGGCATTTATAAAACGCTTTCTTACATTGTGCTCCACTAGGAGAAAAATTGACAAAAATGCCAGGCATTTGTGATCCCGAACTGTATCGCACTCTGTGATGCACGCTGCACACATATACTAAAGCTATTTATAGTTGAGACGTCTACTTTCTTTTGAAATCAAATCAAATCGGGGAAATACCGTTAATTTAATCTTATCTTAGTAACAAAGTTTGACCCGATTTATCTATTTTAACTTTCCTTATATTGAAATAGTGACAACTTGCAATATACAACCGCTTTCAGTGGCAGAGGCCAACTATAAAGGACCGATCTTTCTTGGCTCTTCGACCTGAAGGGTTCTTCCGTAGAGCAACGTTTTAACGGCTATGGTACCACGATTCGTCGTCGACGTCGTTGCTGAAAAACACATAAATTGCTTTCGTTTCAGTGGCTTTTCGCCACTAAGTAAGATAAACGCGTCGGTCACCACGCCGTATCCTGAAACCAACTACTCCAAAACGACAAAACTACTTGAAAAGGGTGCCATTTTGAAAGGGCTTAACATATTTAAACTTATTTGTTACAAATAAATCCCATTCTCATTAAGTATTATTGATGTAATGTTTTCAAAAGATTTATTTTTGAAAAACTTAGCAACTACAATTAATTAATTTACATGCAAATCACACACTAATCGTTAATCGTAACACGTAGAGATAAAATAAAACAATCAACCTTCAATAATCCATAATGTAACAACTAGCACAATTTGCAATTTAGAAAAACCAGTTTGTAGTTACAAGGATTTGCAGTCTAATTGACCTACGTTTGTTAATATTAACTTTCACACAATTACCAATGAAATGGTAAACCACAATCAAATAAGGTATTAAGTTATTTAATACGCTTAATGTCTTATATTAATTTTGATGCAACAAATCCAAGAAACGTGTTTTCGTACAGACTTGTTGACCTCTTTACGTTCACCGTCAGATGGTGCAAACGTAAAATTACAACGAAGGAAAGAGTGGTGTGAAGACACTCCTTCATGAATGGGATCCTCCTTCGAGGCGTGGTTTTGGTTTATCTTAAAAATATAATGGAGAAAATACTATATATCTGTCTAGATTGCTTTTGTTGTTCTCATTATGTACTAAAAATTTTGGTTCTGTATCAAAGCAGGTTTGCAAAAAAGGAAAATTCCTGAGGAATCGAAAACACAAATCAAGAAGTTCTATAATTTCATTACGTTTTTTATAGTTTCTACAAGTTCAGTCAGTCCTTTTAAATATATGAAGTCCCTTTATGTGTCTGGACTAGCCAAACTACTTTGTGATTTATCAATGCAACTTGAAATATGCTTCATATGTTCACTTTAAGTGAACACAACATCTTAAAATCCAGCAATCCCCAGTCTGGTCAATAAACAAACTGATTTATCCAATTATAAGTTTCAAAATATTATTGGTTGAAAGAATTACTCCGGTACTCGCACTAAAGGCCTAAAAACAATTGGATTATGCTGTGGAGTAGTTGATCAATGATATTCAATACTGTGTGTGAAAAGGCAGTTGTAAGTTCAGGAGAAATCTAGAAGGCGAGAACTACCATAAAGACAACTTACAACTGATATCAGAAAAAAGAAGGACGAGGAAGAAATAGCAGTGGAAAATACTTGCTATGGAGATTAATTAAAAATCTAAAAGGACCACTCCGAACAAAAATTAAGTCTGTAGCTGGCCCAGAATTAACGAACAAAAGGCTTCAAGATTTGCAAATTATCTGGAAAAGATGTTTCAATCTAGTCCAGGAAACGATGCTGCCCCCCTGCCAGGTATCATTGGGCAGGAAGGCAGAGTAATAAACTAGACTCATCATAAAGACTCAAATCAATACCAATTTTTACCCGAACAGAGCTCTATCGAGCTTTTAACCAGCCACATCCTGGAAGAGTTTTCAAGAAATACATTTGTTAAAATAAATGTAATCAGCTCCAGTAAAGAGATTGCAGTTGCCGCCAAGGCACTCAACTACGATTCAGAGATAGTAGCCGAGGTCGCTTGCGGCCGAGGCTTTATAATTAGTTCCGGTATAGAGATTACAGTCTACCTCGCTTGCTGCCAATGCACTACAATTTCGTGTAGTAAATAAATTGTATCCGAGGTGACTTGCGTCCGAGGCTTTGTAATTAGTTCCGGTATAGAGATTACAGTCTACCTCGCTTGCGGCCAATGCACTGCAGTTTCGTGCGGTAAATAAATATTAGCCCAGGTCGCTTGCGGCCGAGGCTCTGTAATCAACTTCGCTAATGGAATTACAGTTGAGCTCGCTTGAGGCCGAGGCTCTACAATTTACTACATTAAAGCGATTTTAGCCGAGGGCGCTTGAGGCGAAGGTACGGCAATATACACAGTGGAGTAGAGTTTATGGTCGCTTATGACTGAGGCTCTACAATTTAAATTTTTACTAAAATGGTAGTCGAGATACTGCAAATTACTCCGATAAAGAGATAAAAAGAATTAGCCAAGGTCACTTGCGGCCGATGCTTTACAATTTAGATTTTTACTGAAATAGTATCCAAGGTAGTGTAACCTTTTTACTTTTTATTTACCAGACCAGCTCTAGAGCTATACATTGAATTTTTATTATTTAACAATATATGCAATGTAATATACAACATGAGGAGTCGCTTTCGCTCTCCTAAACACATTATGGGTTGGGTTAGAGGAAAAATAATGTACAATATACAGCGATCTTTCTAATAAAATTTTTTCGAAATGTTTATAATAACCGCACGGGAACTGTTTAAAGGAACTGTTTTTCGTCCAATCAGCAGATCGCAAATCAGACTCAGGTAATCGGTGCCACCCTCGGCCGGTCCGCTACGCCGATGATAACTCGTTTCCCACGTGTACTCACCAATAGATTCGTCATGGAAAGAGAAATAAACTTTTTCGATGAATCAAAGTTGTCCGTTATTGGTCGTCGTTAAACGGTTCCCGTGCGGTTATTATAAACATTTCGAAAAAATTTTATTAGAAAGATCGCTTCAGAATAATGTATTCTACAACCGTATAATGCTCTGATGCGGAAGATACGGGACACGCTGTAGATCTTGGGATAATCTCCGTTGCAATCGCCTGTGAATATTTCTTCTGCCCAAATTGTAGAGTTTTGTTGATTCACACATGTGTAGTCGTTCGTGAAGCTTTCAACGGTAGTGCAATCTACAACGCTTAAGAGACAGTAGCCAAGGTCGAGAAGTTAATTTTTTTTTACAATCAAGAAAGGAAAAATTACTGAATTAGTAATAATAGTAAATGTTGATGTTTCTCCATCGACCATTGGTTCTTGTGAGTAACAACCTAAGAAGGAATTGCTACATATTAGTGAAATGAAGAAAGTTCTGATAATATGGAGGAAATGACGACAAAACAAATCCGCACAGTACACGTACTGTACGCACAGTGCCGTGTGTGATGTAAACGCAGTGCTGTGATAATAATTATTGTAAGGTACTTAAAAAACGAACTCAATTTTCAAGAAATTAAGCCTTTTGCTTTGTCTTCTACAAAATAACTACAAATATATTGTATGCCATTGATTCCTACTGTACTAAAACGAGAATAAAGTGATCAGAGTACTGTGGTTAAGTACTAATCGTCAGATTTAAGTACC